GCCGCGGGTTCGGATCCTATATAGGAATGGCCGGTGCGCTCACTGAGCCCGGTGCGGACAAAACCACACCAAGGGTTGTGATCCCCTTACCAGTCACGAAAAAGACAAAAAAAAAAAAAAAAAAATCCCTAGACAATGCTATATGGCATAACTTACAGCTCCTCTAAGAAATATTTTTCCCCAAAATTTTTTTTCACAATAGAGTAATTTTTAAGTAGCTTTCTGAGAAAATTGTGACTGCCTTGGGGACCATGTGAGAGTGGACTGCCTGCACTTATTTAGGCCTTCTGGTTTGGGGAATAGGACATCAGCCCTGGCTCTTACACATATGGCTTCTTAACCCTGCAGATTAGCTCTTAGTCAACAACACAGAACTCTCCATGTCCTTATCAGTAGCACCCTAAAGAAGATGCCTGCAGAAGGATTCCCAGAAGGTATTAGGTACTCCTGTAATATTTTTTTTTTCCTTCCTTTTTGTCTTTTTTACTGACCAGTAACGGGATCGCAACCCTCGGTGTCACGGCCGTACCGGGGACCGGCAATGGGATCGCAACCCTCGGTGTTGCGCCCACACCGCGCTCAGCCAGGGAGCGGGAACCGGTCTCCACATGGGATCTGAACCCTCAGCGGGAGCGCCACCACACTCCCAAGCAGCGCACTCTCCAGTGCGCCACCGGGCCGGCCCCTCCTGTAATATTTTAATCCTGTCTTTGGATCAGTGGCACCAGCAGAAGTGTAATATGTAGACCAATTTGTAAGGAACCCAGCAAACAGCTCCACGACACCACATGTCAATGTTTTGCCTTTAGATTTCACTGAAGACTCTTATAAAAATCATTTTAAAGTAAAGCCATACCTGAGAAACTTAAGAATCCAATCAAAATAAAATTACGTCCTTTGAGGAACTATGGTTCCCTCTTTGGGATAAAAATTACGTTCAGATGGGTTTCCCCTTTCTGCCCTCACTGTTGGGAAATCTAGAGCATCACAACCATGGCCACAAGGTTAACACTACGGATGACACGCTTGGAGTCTTCTCCCCTCCCCACGCTCCCCGTTTCTGATTTTCTATTTTTCTTTTATTATTTCACTGCAAAGGCTTCTTGTAAACCTCCCTAAAGCTACTATGGAGAGACAGACTATAAATAAAGTAACTGTTACCATTAAGAGTCAACATCAATGAATGAATTCAACCTGTTGCTAATCAATGGCTTACAGGTTCACTACAGTAACAGGAGACATTTAGGAGGTATGTTGGGAAGAAGATCAGAATGCATCACTAATGAATCTCCCCTGGAGATTTGGAAGAAAAGGCTCAAGGTGATCTTCCCGAGGTGGTTTAAGTGCTAGGTGGGGAGAGAAAAGATCAAACTCTGAAGGTTCTTCATACCTGTGCCTCCAGAGTAGTATCACTCAGAGATGCCAACTATTCTAATAGAAAAGAAGGTAATTTAAAAATCCAGGGCAGGCTGGTGAGCTCACTTGGTTAGAGCATGGTGCTGATAACATCAAGGTCAAGTGTTCCAATCCCTTTACCGACCAGCTGCTAAAAACCAAACAGAAAATCACTTTAAAGATCCTTAATCAGGCCTCACACTCAGCTTGGATTTGCTGCCATGGCTCACACTCATGAGATGGGCCAGTGAGGCCTGTACCCAACCAGCCATCATAACAGTCGCCTAGACACAGGAGAACCCCAATCACCTACCAAAGGCTTCCAAATATAAATCAGTCATTATTTTCAACTACCTAGCTCTAAGTCTGCCCATTAACTTTACCTGCTATAAATAATCATCCAGTCGGAATATCTATTCTTCAGAAGTTATTCTAGTTAGTAGCATCTTTAGGCAATTCAAAACCAATACATACACTTCCATTCAATCATTTCATCCTGCTTCCGTATTTATCATCTCGGTTGTCTTCACAACACCACCCCACGGCGCTCCCAGACATAGCACCCCGACTTCAGAGGCTAAGATCCTGAAGGCCCTGAAGGCCCGTGCGCGTCCCCCAGTGCTGACATAGGACTGTCTGACAGGTCGCAGCCCTGGGGCTTTTCCACTGGGTTACACAGTCAACATGTGGCTGGTTCTATTTCCACACTTCAGCTCGGAAGACTACATACAGCAATGACAGATTTGCTCTTACCTTTTCCTATGTGTCTCCTGGTGTTTTCTATTGTTGAATTTCTGTTTACATTGGAAAGCAGTCCAAGACAGAATCTGCTCCTGTTATTTGACGGGTCTGTGAATCCATCTACGAGCACGCTTCGGGAGGAGGCCTGGAACGTCTCCCCAACTCGGTTGTTCAGTTCATAGTAGGCGACCGAGCACCAGTGCTGGGGCTCCTCATAACAAACGGGCCGGAAGTCTGAAAGAAATCAAACCTTATATCACATCACCACCATCACGTCTGGGTGTCACAACTCACGATTCCACCAGGAAACTGCGATTAATGCTCTTATCCAGCAATCTGGCTGCAAGGCCAAGTATGCTGCTTTGCAATCTTTTAAAACCTGTCACTTGAATGGAAGCTGTTTGGAGTTAGCTCATTTGGTTAGTTCATCTGAGAGGCCATGGTCCTTGTCAATCTTCCATGGTTAGAGCATTTGTAAACATATTTATTAGTAATGAGGGGCCAGGGAAAAAGACGACGTGAACAGATCAATTTAAAATACTATCACTCCTGACTGGGCGGTTAGTTCAGCTGATTAGAGGTGGTGCTGATAACACTCAGGTCCAGGGTTCAATCCCTGTACCAGCCAGCCAACAACAACAACAAAAAAATCATCACCCCTAAAGCAAACATAGCTAACAGGAAGTTGGGAGGTCACTTCATCTTCATGTAGGAAAGATGCATACCACTGTTGCTGTGGCAAAAAGTATCATCTTTCTAACAAACTAAAGGTGAAATATAATAGTTTCGATAGAATTAAAACCAAATCAAAAACACCACATAGAACTTTAAATTATTTAAGAAAGAAAAAAATCTACATAGAGGGGCCCACATTCTCCTTTGTGTACATATAGGATATCGAGTTATATATGACCCAAAAATATTTTAAAGAAACCTGGATACTTCATTAGGAAACTCACGAATGTTATGTTTTCAGCCCAAATTTTAAAGTTAAATTTCCTATAACCAACTAAAGTTCAGACTTCTTTCTTTCCTTGCCACATACACCCTTTCTCTGCCTTTCTTTTGATTATATTATCTTTCTTTTCCTTGAATATCCTGGTAATTCTTTTTCTTTTTTTTTCCCTTCATGCAAAGGAGCAGAATATCCTAGTAATTCTTGTATCTAGACTGTACCTATATGCAATAAAATATAAATTTATGAAATAAATAATAGGGTTACTATTTGACTTACAAAAGGATCTTCACCTTAAAAGAATTCAATCTGGGATACTTTAAATAGTAAACTCCTGGAGACCCTCTCTAGCCTATGTGTGGTTCATGGAACAGGAGCCTCCGGATCACCAGGGAGCTTGTGAGGAATGCAGATTCTTGCACCCCACCCCAGATCTACAGAATCAAAATGCGCATTTACACAAGGTCACCACATGCTTTAGATGAACATTAAAGTTGAGCAACACTTATCTAGACTCTTATAAGATGCAAATAAAATTTTGTAAAAACGCTTTATATATATATTTCTAGGTTCTTACCAAATGAAAACCACCACTATAAACCTATAGCAAAAACACAAAGGTAACAAAATCCCTAACTTCTTAAGTTCCCAAGTCCACACTAAAATCAAGAACTACAAACTTCTAAATGCTATGTTAAAATAAATAATTAACTTATTCTAGTAAGGAGGATGATAAAACATTCATTCTGTAGTACTGAGGAATGCCAAAGTTAAAGTGCAAAGCCACGTTACCTGCCTCCTAAAACACATGCGAAATAGCAGGCCAGCAAATTTCTGTTTTGTTTTGTTTTGTGATTTGTTTTGTTTGGGGGTAATAGGAAATACTCTTGGGAAATAGCTACATTTAGTTGTCCATTTGCAATTTACCTCCATTAGGTATTGATAGCACTAAATGACTATCAGCTGTGGCATCTACAGGTCGGCCATTCTGGGTCCCCAGGGCTTCCGTGGCATGATAAGGTAGGGGTGATGTGTCAACTAAAAGAATGCAACAGAACAAAGGAATCATCAAACTAATAAACTGCTCAAAGACAGCTGGATCTAACCTCTTTCACTGTTAAACTCCTGGGCTTGGTGGCCAGTGTTACTTCTAAAGAGAGACCATATTAATGTAACAAGGTTCTTCTGAAGTGACATTATGAGTGTCCCACAGAATGTTCCGAGATCCTCACTAAAGGATGGATTTGTTTTCCCTCTGACTTATGAGTTATCATTGAATCCAAATGACTTCATGATTAGATTTTCAAATCTAAAAGCTATTCTAGCTTTCCTCAGTAGCAGAATAGTCTGTTATCTGGCTTGGAAACACAGAGAAAGCTAAACCTTCTTTGAAGTAAGCTTAATTTTCAGCTCCTATGCTGCCATGGACTGTATAATGACCATAAGGACATCTGTCCAAGACATACTTCCAGATATGCCCCCAAAACACAGACTAGCTGAAACTTGATTATAACCTAACGCCCAAGGCTTGCTCAGAAAGGCCCTTCTCCCCAGCTGTCAGTTCTGCACTGGATGGTGGTTATGGTTAGGCAAATGGCGTACATTCAGTAGATAACATCTCATCAGGAAGTAATTCACAACACAACGAAAACTCATGAGGCAGAGGGAAAACTCTTTAGGGAGAACCTCAGAACAACCAATTTCTTCAGTGTAGATTCCTAATGTTAGTTCAGAATGTTACATTAATGATAGAATTTAACAGCATAGGAGGTCAGATCAATCTGACCTTGTTGAACTGATTTGTCCACACAAGTAGCTCTTATACTTACGTGTGCATAAAAATCACCAGTGGAGCTTGGTAAATAGGCAGATTCCTGGCCTCACCTCCAGAAATTCTGATTCAATACATCAGTCACTGGATATAGCCATTTGTTTCAGCAGGCCCTAAAGGCAATTCTAATTCAGAGGGTTCACGGACCACAGCAGGAAACCATGGATAAGGTATTTCCTTGTGAGAAAATGGACTGTGACCCTGGTGAAAGTTATAAAGCAAAATGGTCCTTTTGCAGATCATTGAGTAAATCTATCTAGAAACTGAAGAGGCTGAACATAGAACTGCTATACGATGCAGCAGTTCCAGTCGTAGGTAGATACCCAAAGAAATTAAGAACGGGAACTCAGACAGGTACTTGCATGCTAAGGTTCATATCAGCGTTATTCACAATAGCCAAAATGTGGAAACGACCCAAATATCCAAGAACAGATAAATGGATTTTTTAAAAATGTTGTATTATCCATACAATGGAATATTGTTCAGTCACAAAAATGAAGTACTGATCCACGTTACAACACAGAAAAACTGTGAAAACACTCAGCTAAGTGAAACAAGCCAGATGCAAAAGGGCAAATATTGTGTGAGTCCATTTATATGGTAAATTCACAGAGACAGAAAGATCAGAGGTTACCGGGGGCTGGGGAAGGGGAGAAATGGGGAGCTACTGCCAAATGGGTACAGAGTTTCTGTTTGGGGTGATGAAAACATTTTGAAAATAGATAGTGATAATGGTTGCACAGCATTGTAAATGCCACTGAATTGTACTCATAGAAATAGTTAAAATGACAAATTTTGTGTTAGATATATTCTATCACAACTTTAAAAATCAATGTAAAATAAAAAAAACATTGTACAGCTGAAATGAGTGAATTGTATGATATGTGAATTATATCTCTTAATTAAGATATTAAAAAATTTAGGGGCTGACCCAGTTAATCTAAAAAATTTCTTTTATTTATCCATGGGTCTGTTACTTAGGTTGGCATTTTGCTGTTAATCATTTAGAAAAGAATGATTTTCTTTAAAATGAAAAGTCTATGCTTTCTCCTTCCAAGAGAAACTAGCCAGCTTCTGCATTGTTGTTGGGTCTGTCCCTTCATGGGTGGAAAAACAACAACCTGTCAGTGTAACCAGGGCAGGAGCACAATGTCAGTACAGGAAATCTTTATTGCATAGCCAGGTGCTGTGTAAATATATACTTAGCTATATAAACTGTGGCTCTGTCCTCAAATGACTTCTCTTTCTTTTTTGTTTTTGTTTTTCTGGGTGGCTGGCCAGTATGGGGATCAGAACCCTTGACCTTGGTGTTATAACACTGTGCTCTAACCAGCTGAGCTAACGAGCCAGCCCTGACTTCTCTTCTGTTGTGCCTTTCTCAGTGAACTCAGCCACTCGCAAAGACTTCAACCATCTGTGTCCCACACTGTGAGGATGACTCCAAACTTCCTTCCAGCATCTCAGCCTTCAACTCATCAGGCTGATTCTATCTCCTCCAATTCACTGCCTTCTTTCCAACCCCACATCCCTGCTTCAGTTCAAGTCATTGTCATGTGCCTGGCCTGCTACAGCCTCTATTACATGTGGGACCTATTTATGTGATTGTTCTCAATAGTCACTACCTCCTGAAGGTCAGAGACCACCATCTTAATCACCACTGCCCCTCTAGCACTGGCACAGTGCCCGACACTTAGCAGGTGCCCAGTCATTAGTTACTACTTAATCAAAAAAATCTGTATCTACAGTCCTGAGCTCTAGTCCCATGTTCCAAATGCCTGTGGTCAATAAGCAACTGGTGGGCAACCACTGTGTTTCAGGCTCAGTGCTGGATGCAGAAAAGAGAAGACTCACAGATTAATGGGGGGAAACAGACACACAGGGAATTATATAACGTGGTGTGATGAATGTAACAGCAGATGTATATGCGACCTGCTGAAGGGGTAAAAAGAACTAAGCAACTGGGAAGGGAAGAAGCAACTCCTTTATCTTCCCACATTTTATAAGTTCTCTGAGGACAGGAAAAATTTTTGTTAATCCTTTAATTCCCCTTCAGCAACCTAAGGCAATGTTTGTATATATAGCAAAAGTTTAATAAGAACCCACTAAGTAAATGGATACATGAATAAGTGAATGATGCAGACTGTTATATCTGGCACCAAATGTGTGTATTTATGCATGCCTCCAAGAATTTGTTAGCCCTGGATATTATTTATCTCACACTCGTAAGGTGCATTTATATCTTTTGTTATCTCAACTTGGACCCACCTTACAGGTATGGCAGCACGTGCAATTATTACAATATGCTAGATTCTCTCTTTCTTTTCCATATGCTTTCTCAGTTCAGCAAATTGAAGATGTTGTCCTGGCTTCACATCACCAAAAAGGAGAAAGCACAGCCTGGAGGTGGGGCTTTGTTCTCTGCTGTGCTAAAGTTACACATACGTCTCTTGTAGGCAGGGACTCCCTTTGATTGTTAAAGAGGGAACACCAAAGGAAAGGCCTAACCCTGATCCTCCTTGTTGCCTGCCTTCAGGCCAGGTCTTCCTGCTTGGGTTAGAAAAATATTTTGATCTTATTTCTACTACTTTTAAAAAAAATCCTTGGAAATTCCCAGGGATGCTTTCCAAATCCATTTAGTTTTTGAGAGCTTCCAAAGGATTAGAACCAGAAACCAGAGCACTATCATGTTGTAGGTCCAGGGTAAATGCTTCACAATAGGTATAGTCCTGGCCATCTCAGAGGGTGGGCTTACAAGAGATTGCTTTGTAAACTGTAAAGCACTATATGAATGTTAGTTACCATGGTTATACTTATGCTTGTCCACCATAAACACTTGTGTCGGATCCTATTTTCCCACTGCCTGCAGCACTTACTGACCTGAGTGTTGATAGGGACTCTCTGGCTCAGAAGGGCTTCCTGGAGAGTGTGGGTAGCTGGCCGTGCACGGGGACTGCGAGAAGGCGTGGCTGGGTGAGGGCGGGAATGCAGAGCATGGAGGCTGCTGGAAGGAGTCCGGATAGGTGGCATTGTGTGGCATGAGTGGCTCGCTGTGCAGGGAGGCGCTGCGGAACTTGGCCAGGAGGCTGAGCTGAGGGTTGTATTCGCTGTGCCTGGGCACAAGCACCGGAGGCAGCACTAGGATCAGAAGGGACAAGAGAGTCAGAATTGAACACTGCTCATCAGCACAGAATAGAGTGGACACTTGCCATCTATGTGTGCCCATTTTCTGATGATAAAAGGGTTCCTCCTTTACGAACTACCCCTCCACTATTTGTGCTCATCATGCAACTGTCCATTAAGGTCCCATCCCCACCCAAGAAGTGAGCATTGAGTCAAGCGAAACCAACAGTTTTTCTCCTTGTAATCTGAATCTTTAGCAGAATGTCACAATTAATGAAAAACCTTAGAGGAGGATCTTTCTAATGTCAGCACTCTAAAGAGACTACCTAACCATGTCTACCATGGAAATTTCCAGAGCTGTCCTACCTAATACCTGGCCTTCTGGAGACATGATCTCTATGTCTACCTTTAATTCTGCCAATAAAGTTTTTGTTAAGGCAAAATTGATTTCTATTGCATGACATGAAACCCTAAGTGATGCCCAGAATGTTTTTCCTTCAGAGACCATGTTGAATTATTTAGATGATCAGCCTCAATTTCAGGTTTGGTAATGCTGCTGAAATAAAAACATTCTATATTTGTTCTTACTGGAAAGATTTAAAGATGAGTAATTAAAAGGTATTAAGTAAAATACAAATGATGAATACTTATAAGAGTGAATAAGTAAAAGATAAGCAGTTATAAGAAAACCTATAAGTCAGGTTTATTTATTATAGTATGTTCCTTCTGGGTTCCCTTCTTTAAAAAGAATATGAATGTTTCTGATCCTGGTTCTATACATAATTTAGGAATGGATTCAATTCTTCAAGGGCAAGCTTTGCACAGGCACTCACAGCTCCTACTGACTTCTAGTGTCACAGTGTGTTGCTGAAGTGCCATCTGTGACCAACATAAGTTCCAGACAAAGAAGCAGAGAAAACAGTGGGGAAGTGATCAAAAAAATAACAGAAGAAAACTTCCCAGAGCTAAAAAAAGGGTCTATGTCTTCAGATTGAAAAAATCCACAGAGTGCAGAGCTCAATTAATGAAAAAAGATCCAGACCTAGTCACACCATCTTGAATTTGAAACGTAGGAGGATAAATGTAATATTCTAAAACCTCTCAGAGGATCATCTCAAAAAGTCACCTACAAAGAAATGAGATTCAACTGACCTCGACTTCCTACCCCAAAGTTGGCCACTGAAGGCAATGGACCAAGGCCTTTCTGGGGAAAACAATTCTTACCCCAAATTCCATAATGGAAACCAGTATAATAACCAAAGACTAACATTAACTATGGACTGAAATATAGATGTCAAAGACTGAGAAGAGGAAGGAAGAATGTGGTATGAATAGCTAAATCCTCACCTTTTATGTGAGAAGGTCAATGAAATTATCTAAAAGTGATAAACCTGGAAACAGATGTATAAGCATATTATTTAGAGTTACTTACATAATTTTTAGTAATAACGAAGGAAAATAGTAAAAAAAAAAAAAAAAAAAAAAAAAAAACCCAGCCAGGAATGGTTAAAAGAGGTTGTTTCTGGGGATGGATGGGGTGGCTGTTGTTTCTAATCACACTATTGACTTGTTTGCACATGCAAGTATTGATAAACAGCTTTCATAAAAAATAACTGTTTGAAAACTGCTCTAAAATATAAAGTCTTTAAAAAAGTAAAAGTTTTGGAATGAACAGACAATAACAATAGTAATGCAATAACAATAACATTAATCGCAAAGTCTACCATTTGCCTTCTACTAAAATACATTTATCTCTTTCCAAACAAGCAATAATTCATTTCTATGTACAGAAAATAAACTCAAATCGGTAAATGTACAGTTTTAAACTAAAACCACTACAGGTCAGGGTGGCAGAGAAACAAATGACTTCCTCTCCCCTTTACAAGGTAGTATTTGCATATATACCGCCTCATGACATTTGAGGACAAACATCCAATATCACCACACAAAAATGGCATGGATGTCAAACCATTAAATGTCCTTTAATGTATTCCACAACCATGAAGGAATAAAAAGATGATTTGCCTCATGAATAGCCCGCAGTGAGGGGCTGACACAGTAAATGACATATGGCCTCTTTTTAGATGACAGTTCATTACAATGTTAACAATGTTCAAATAAACACTCATTTTTTTTTTTTTTTTGATGAAGACGAATTTGAATAATCTCTGTGACTTCAGTTTCAATGTCAGGTATCTACAGTGTATTCCTATCACTGGTAAACATAATGCCTCATACCCTTCTGAGTGCAGAGTCTTCTATTTCTTCATGGCCTGCAGATCAGAGGCACCAAGAGAAAAGAAAGGATATATTTTTCTTCATCGTGACAAACATCTTGCTAACATATTTTTACCATCTGGGTAAAACCAAAAGCAGTGAATGTTTGTAAAGAAAACTGATGTTATCATCATGGTTGTTATCTTGCCTGACTGGCTCAGTTACCTTAGATTTGCACTGATCATATTTTTAAATACTTTCTGTCAAAATGCAGCTATCCCTAACTACTTAATTCTATTGCCACATCTCACCTTCTGCTTGCAAATATGACATAGTGAGCTTACAGACATCGTTTCTATTTTATGCCACCTTTTAAATACCATGCTGTCTCTACATCTCAGTGTTGCACGAGGGAAATCACAGGAGTTACTGGTCACATGGGGGTGCAGAGCAGAGCTGAAAAAAAACTTTTGTCTCTTTTTCAAAAGTCTTGTGGTTTTGACATAATATGGGTATTTCATGTAAGGGAGAAATTACACACCTGAAATAACCTCCCGCTGCACAGAGTAAAATCATCATGCACAGAGAAATCATTTTTGCACAGCTGCTACTAGACCCATGCCAGACAAAGAACGAAGGACTGAGGAACGAAGACACTTCGCCAACTATTGGGTACCAGTCCATGAAGAGATTAATGGCAACTAAGTGTTTAAAAACTTTTAATAGCAATGAGACAATAATTTTATATATCTGTTGAAAACTGGGCTTGTATTTTGTAAGTCTTTTTCAAATTTCATTTGCCTAGCAATTCATTTGTATTGTCAAAGTATCAATTTGAAGGATTAGAAATTTAAACAAAACCTGGTCCCTCAGTACAGATAGCTTGAGAAGCACTGAAACAGGTTAGTAAAATAGACGTGGGAATGAAAAGGAAATCAGACTGCAGCCTTCAATGCACCTAAAACAGATGACCAAAAAAATGAGAGATTTCGAAGTCAAATCTTAAGCTTTATGACAATTAGGGACTCAGCAGTTTTTTGGTTTTTTTTTAAAAGATGACTGGTAAGGGGACCTTAACCCTTGACTTGGTGTTGTCAGCAACACGCTTTCCCAAGTGAGCTAACCGGCCATCTCTATATAGGGATCCGAACCCTCGACTTGGTGTTGTCAGCACCACGCTCTCCCAAGTGAGCCATGGGCCAGCCCTAGCAAAATTTTTTAACATTAAAATTTTCACTGTCCTCAAAATAACGAGTTTGAACATGGCTAGATAGCTAGATATAAAATTGGCTTTTTTACTATTAAAAAATCAAAGTTAAAAGTAAAAAAAAACTTGTGTAGCTTAAATATTACCTTAAATCAATATAATCTTTACCCACCTTTCGTTCTGGAAATTTAAACTTAAAATATGATAATATGAAACCTATCTACCATATGTAAAACATTCACACTATCATTCCTAAAAGAACCTTACATAATATAAAAAAACTAAACTATTAAATAATTCTTTAAAATTAGGTTTTTGAGTATTCGAAAAGAAAACCAGATATATTTTACAAGATACTGCTTTACAAGTTGTTACATTTTACAACTCCATTACTCAGGAAGAGAGAAATAAAGGATTTCTTAGTGAACATTTCAGTATATTGTGGGTGCTTAAGATAACTCAAATCTTTGAGACACAAAAAGGAATCAAGTCATTTTTGTCATAAAGTCAGACATTATGGACTTTTCTTTTTTAAGGAGGCAAAAAGAGTCTAAAGAGAAGCAGGCAAAAGGGGAAGAAAGCAAACACCCCCATGATTTAGTGAAAACGTATCATTGTACTAAGTGCCTGGGACATTCTAATCACCTTCTCGTACAGGGTCTCAGTCCCTGGGTGAAGTGGCTGCAAGAAGCATCCACACACAGACAGGTGACTTCCTTGATAACTGTTTTACAACACGATGGCCAGTTTGGGAGCCTGAAAGGCCACCGGGCTGAGACTGATGTAGGCCGGGCATGAATCCCTTATCCAATTTTACTTGAGATGAACTGAACTCTCGGCCCTGCACATCTGGACAGGACCATCTCTTAACTGGACATGGGCAATTTCCCTGAGCTAATGTGTCAGCCTTTGTTTTCCTGGAATGAGGCAAATGGCCAATCAAAGAGAGAAAGGTCCCATTAAAAACTGTACTCATCTTCCTGCCCGGATGCCACAGGAACATTCAATACACAGAGTTGCAGTAAAACGCTGTTAGAGCCAGCGTGAAGGAACAAAGAGAAACACCAGACTTCTCCCAAAAGGGGAGGAAATTTATGTGCACACATGTACGGGTGTGTGAGGAGTTTTAGGACAGGGCTTTCCTACATTTGGAACCACATTTAAGAACAACTGCCAACCTTCCCCCTGTTGTTTTTAGTCCTGGAATGAATTCTAGTAACTTCCACTCAGCCCCAGATATGAGATACCTTCCACTTACCTGAGCTTAGGGAGAATGGCAGCCGAAAAACCTTCTTTGGTTTAGTTCAGTTCAGTTTAGTCAAAGGAGGGCAGGACAGGGAGAAGGATTTTTATTTTTACAGCTAATCATTATCAAGGCCATTCTCAGACCTTTCAAGGCCCCAAGAGCAGGGAAAAGGTTACGCTGATGACTCCTAAATACAGTACATCAAAATAAAAGTGCATTTTTCAAAACCACACAAGCTTACGTGTATACTGAAATTAAAATATTTTCGCTCTAGACTTTTCTGACTACAAAATTTTGGATGAGTTGCTCACAACTGAACCTCCCTCTCTCCTCTCTCTGTCTTTTGGGAGAGGTCCTGGACTGGCTTGGTGCCCCGTCATTCTCCATCACTGTGAAAATCGGCCAGGACACGGTGCGTGACACCCACCTGGAGTCTCCACGCGGCGGTAGTGGTAAGGGTTAATGCACACCTCTTTCTGCTTGGAGCCGAATGGGAACTCACAGCACTCCAGTGGCTTCAGCTCGTGGTGGGACTGCAGATCGGGCCACCGCCACACCCGGCAATAAATAACGTGGGGCAAGCCCTTGCGGTGGGACACCTGCAGCCGGCCGTCCAGGGACCGGGGAATCGTGACGCACTTGCTGGGCTGCCCCGGGCAGCTGAGGGCCCTCTCCAGCTCGTCCATGGCGCCTTTCTTCTTCTTCAGTTTCTTCACTAGAGAGTCCACCGCCTTCTCGGCCCACTTCTCCTCCTCATCTCCTTGCTTCCAGCCCAGCAGTCTCTTCACGGCGGGGCTGGTGAAGGAGAAGAGGGAACTGATGGGGGTGCTGGAGTGCATAGGTGGCGGCCGCAGGCGTCCAGGGCACACAGAAACCGCACACGCGGCCCGTCACGGCCTGCAGGGCCCAGGGGACGTCAGCAGCAAGTCACCCTCCAGGGATGGCATAGGGACAGATCTTCCTTTCCTTCTGGAAGCAGCTGGGACCGACTCTAGCTGGGAAGTGTGTTGGCTTTCTCCTAAGCCCTTGGCTGGGTTGGCCAACTCTGGAAAACAACACAAGACTTGGATTAGCTTTATTGGGGCAATTTGCAGAAAAGGTCAAAGTTGGATAAAAGGGGGAAAACATCCTCCAAATGTTTTAATTCGAAGACTCTAAGTCATGTTTGACTCTGCCATCTGCTCTAGTCCCTGTATCCAGGTCTTGGCCATTCTGCCTTCAAATGTCTTTCCGAGTCAGTGTCTTCTCTGTTTCTGCCAACACCTGCGTCCAGCCCACCCCGCCACTCACTTCAATTATTGCCACAGCCTCTGGAGTAGCTTCTCTCCTTCCCCTCACTTCCATGTCTAACCTATGTACTCCCAAACTCCCCTTCTATCTAGTCATCTTCCTGTTTAAGAAATCATGTAGTTCCTTGGTTTCCCAGGTGTAAACTTCTCTGCCTGGGATCCTAAGGCCTCGATAATCTTCTCTCAACATATTTTTCCTTCTGAGTTGGATGCCCGCCTGTGGGGCATGAGAGATGGGGCCATGGGCCTCAGCCCCACCCCCACCACTGCACATTCCGGCCAGCAACAGGGCCCCCCAGGGCCAGTATCCTTGAGGGCGAGGGGCCGGGGCAGCCCCGCCCCTACCTGCAATCAGATCCTAGACTGTGCTTATTAACCCCATGTGTTTCTTTGGAGTGTGTGACTTATCTGCACATGTCCTAAATCAAATTGCTGCTTAAATTTTTGTAATTCATTTTTAAGAGTTTCTTTTGCAATAAGGATGTTAATATGTGTGTGTGTGTGTGTGTGTGTGTGTGTGTGTGTGTGTGTGTGTGTGTGTGTGTGTGTGTGTGTGTGTGTGTGTGTGTGTGTGTGTGTGTGTGTGTGTGTGTGTGTGTGTGTGTGTGTGTGTGTGTGTGTGTGTGTGTGTGTGTGTGTGTGTGTGTGTGTGTGTGTGTGTGTGTGTGTGTGTGTGTGTGTGTGTGTGTGTGTGTGTAAGTAGACAGTAGAATAACAGTTAGCAGAGGCTGGGAGGGGTGGGGGGTGGGGGGAAGATTAGGGTTGAACTAATGGGGACAAAACTGTGCTGTCTACCTTAAGTGAACCACTGTCCAGGATATGCACGTACTGAAACAACATGCTGTACCCCCCCCAAAATAAATAAAATGGAATTAAATAAAAAATTTTTTTCTTTCTCTTTTTTAGTTTGCCCAAGAAATCCATCTTCATTGTAGAAGATATATACAAATGGAAAGGAAAAAAAAACTAGAATCGCTAATAATCTCACCAATCAGGGATAGCCTCTTAACGTATATTCTTCCAGTGTACCCCAAAGACCTCTGGTAGTCTCTGAGACCCTTTCAGGGTGTCTGTGAGATCCTCCCTTTTCCAATTACATACCTGTGTGAGCTAAATTCTTTTCGTAAGCTTCAACTAAAACAGAATATCATAGCAGATTATATATGCAGAAGCAGGTAAAGAACCTAAGTGCCATCTATTAAAGCAGGCATTAAAGAGATTTACAAAGATACAAAACGACACTTGCTAATTTTTTTAAAACATAGTTTTTAAAACTAAAAATATGTTTATGTTAATATATATGGATTTTTTAATGGGTCAATAAATATTTTTAAGTTTAATAAATATTTTATCAGTTTTAATTCCTAAAATGGTAAAAATTGATAAATATAACCTACATCAGCAAAAGTTCTTCGGAGTTCCCAATAATTTTTAAAAGTGGAAAGGTGTCATAAGACCAAAAAGCTTGAGAGCAACTTTTCCAGTAGTTACACGTAGTCACATACTCAAAGTACGGCTGACACATTTGTTATTGTTTGAAAATCAGCTGAATTCTTCTTTGCTCTCTCATGCAAAAGAGACATTCTTTCCCGGTTATTCAACAGTCCCATTTAAATTTCCTGAAGTAGAGCTACACTTCCTCTTCTGTGAAATAGCTGGCTGAAACAAAACCTCCTTCTTCTTCCAGGTCTTAGAAACCGGCTACCTCTCTAATGTTTAAAGCGGCTGCTGGTAACATTTTGGAGCAAGCTGACTCATTTTAGCATCTTGGAATCAATCTAACTCGTAATCTCCAATGATTGCTTGCTTAATATGCATTAAATATAATTTTCTCCTTTGCTTCCGTGGAAGGAAAGCTGCACCTTTCTGCGTCCAATTACATCAACTTCTTTTGAACGAAGGTGCTATGTAAACCCCTGCTATAGCCGTCATTATCAGGCACCTCATGTGGAGGCTGGCAGCCTGGCTAAACAAAAATTGATGACATTTAATGAGTATAAAGCAGCACTTACAGCACTGTATTCCTCGTATGGACTTTATCTAGCATTGTACAGAGGTAAACTGTGACGAAAAGGTGAGCTAAGGGCACCATAGCTGTTCTTTTTCACTTGGCAGTTTGACTTACACTCAGTTTTATTTGGAAAGGTTGATTTTTGTGGCTTAACAATCGTGAATGTATAAAGCACAGTTAAGTCACTCTGCTGAGGTCCTGTTTACTTAATCTAGCTAGGCTGCCTTAAAGTAATGGTTGAAGAGGGGTGGGAGCTTTAAGGAGAAGTAACATGACACAGAATAGCCTAAACCCTGAAAGAGCTTTGAAGTCTGCTTAGTTTTACATGGGATTTGTTATTAGTAAATTGTGGCATAAATCTTTAAGCTCAGGTAAGCGGTAAAGAAAAGCCTTTTATAAATTAAATGTACTTTTTAAAAAAACTTTTGCTCCATCCGACAAATAACAGTTCCCTAAACTGGATTTTGTTTTGATTTTAAACTGTGGGTTCCTAGCTACTAATGGCAGGTGAAACCAATTTATTGGAGAAAAACAGTTTTTGTAAAAACGACAAGACAAAATAGACTATATTGCAAGGCAGCTCACAAAGAATAAATATAATAACTAAGTATAATACTTTCATTAAAACTTTCCATTCAGAGGTATGTATTCTGTGTGTGCATGTCTGTGTGAGTGTGTGGTGTGTCTGTGTCTGTGTAAGCGTGTGTGGTGTGTATGTGTGTTTCTGTATTAAGTGTGTGTGTGTGTGCTTTGGTGGTGTGTATGTGTCCAGGGTTACGATGCAAAATTTATTATTATTGTGGGTTACAATCAAAAAAGTTTGAAAAGCACTACTCTGAAACCATACATTTCTGTGAACTGTGTCTGTCCGAGGTTTACCTTGCTGAGTGACTTTCAGGGCATCTTTCCTCATGCCTTGGGGAAATCCCAACAAGTCATGAATCTAAGGCCTAAAAAACCTTGGCTGTCTACAGTCTGCTGTCACTGCCGCATTTCAAATCATTATAGTAGTCTCATGGTGGCTCCAAAACTATAAATTTATTGCTGCAAGACACAGCTCCTGTTCCGTAAAACAAAGCCTCTTGCATTGAGGGAGGCCCCGAGAAGAGTTAAATTTAGAACCTTAGAGTGATAAACACCAAATTCCTCACAGTGGCCTCCGGGTAGGGGAAAAAAAGAGAATAGAAAATATCAAAAAGTTAAGATTTAAGAAGGCTGACTGATGGGTACATGGATGTTCAAAATCTTATTTTCTATACTTGTTTGTATGTTTGGTATATTTTTAATAGAAAAAATAAGTATTAAAAAAATGAGTTGGAATCTCACTAACACTAAGGTTCTTGTCTATGTTGATAGTTGCTGTTTGTCCAGGCAGTGCAGCTCAGGGTTCATGAAGGTTATTCCATTCTCATTCCTATAATGTTTTAGCCACTAGTAGAACAAAGGGCCCCTGTTTATCTCCAGCTGGCCATCGCACTGACATCAGCAGTGGAAGTCCCCCCTGCCCAAGTTTCTTCAGTGTCAACCTGGCTTGGAAAGCTTCCCACTGTCAGAGAATTTAAACGCCCATAGACTTGAGACTCTAACCTACCACGACTCCTGATAACTCCACTGCCCAAGCTCAGAGCAATAATAAAAAATAGAGCACTCTCAGAGGGGTCATTAAAAAAAAAAAAAAACTGTTGCAAAAATAGGAGAGGCTATTAACATTGCTTACAGTTACCCCGTTCCTATAAAGTACAAAGAACAAAACAAAATTAAGAATTAGGCACCTTCTAAAGATGAATGCAAGTGAGGCATTTATAAGCAGAAACACAAGCAGATAACTCACACAAAATACAAGAGCTACAGAAGAGATACAGGAGGTGGGACATGAAGAAAACTTCTTAGCCCAACATGGGGAATATTGGGAGGATTCCTGAGAGGATAACTGAGCTGCACGTAGAAGGATTTAAATCCCGGCTAAAAAATAAACTAACTTGGTGGATTAGGATAACGTTCTAAGATTTCGTTGTGTATGGTTACATTCTCACTCTTGTAAGAGAACTGGGTATCCCTGTCGTAGATCAACCGTGTGATCTTAGGCATGTCATGTGGTCTCTAAGGATCCCCTTATTTCCTCATCTGCAGGTCAGGACAGGGCTTAGCCTCCCTGTAAGGTTCTGTCTGGGAGGTGGCTCCACGACTCCAAGGTTATTGGCTGGATGTGTCACATGGGATCGTGTGACTGTCTCAGCTGCTGTTAGCCCCTGGGTAGTCGGAGAGTGGGACCTTCACCCATGACACCACTGCCAGCATAAAGCACACCCAGTATCCCCTCACTGCATAGAGCAGAACAAAACAACACATTTCCACGGCTGTCACACTGACTCTTTTAACAACAAATGTCATCTACCAACAGAAAACAATTTCCAGTTCGCTCTCCAGCCATTTGTTTCTTTCTAGGATTATTTTTTACCGCAAAGGAATAAGAGTAAAACGTATACTTGGCGTTGCTGTGTTTAAAACCATTGGTTGGTGCATCGTCCGGCATTCATACCAGATCTCCAGAAATGCTTTCTGTTGGCCAAAGAGCTTTCCTGATTTGGGCAGAGAGAAAAAAGCACCATGACTGTCCCTTCTCTGGCTCACTCAGAGCCCACTTCCCACACTTGCAGCACAAAAACAGTACTCCTTTCTTTCTCTGGCGTCTGAGTTTTACAATAAACCCCAGGCTGAGT